TTTCTAAACCACAACCAACAACAACAACCACCACATTAATTAACTAATAGGACACTTAGGATGTTACTGTATATTTAAGTCCTGGGTTCAACTAAAACCATCTCATCATATACTATTGTAAGAAATGTATATTTAAGTTAACCTTTTTTGACACAGATTACATTTAATTCCTATCTAATTTTTTTATTTCAATGCCGTGTTCATACATTCATTATATTACATTATTTTCATCGTCCTTCACACAGCTTTGTGATACACCTTCAATGATATATAGTAATTAAGAACAGAACATTTGTGATTCATCTTCATTGATATGATATAAAGTAATTAAGAAGAGAACATTTGGTAAATTACATTTGACAGTCTACCCTAACCACATACCCACCCACCGACCGTCAGTCGTTTTACATGACGGCCTTTGTGATCTGTGCCGACGATTGAGGCTTCGAATTAGCACAACCTTTCTTCGTTATTCCCATTTCAAGTTATTTTCAAATTTTCATACCAATATCAGAAATCGGATAAAAAAACACAGAAAAATATCGATGTAACATGCCCAACATGAATTTCTGATAACCAATCTTTGAAACGTTGTGTACGGGATCTGTGCCGTTCTCGGCTGTTGTATACGTCTCCGATAAGAGCCCTTAAACTTTTTGCAATAAATAAATAAATAAATAAATAATTGTCATTTTCTTCTTATGCGTTCGACGCGGCATCTGTCAGCTTCGTTCATTCAACCTTGGCATGACTTATCAACGACTTTTCTCTGAAATATGCTACTTTTGTACTTACAATATGCATTTACACAGGTTTAGGCGACAAACGTGTTTGCGATTGACCGCTGTCCGAAATCGAACGTGAAAACGAACACGTGGACAAGAAACAACCTAACCGTGCAAATCATACACTGACTGACCTGTGTAAAGTTTCAAGCTTTAATTCATAAATTTAAACTTGCACAGTCTCATCTGCTTTGGTCAGTGACTTATAATACAGACGTCCCGTCCCGTCCCGTCCCGTCCCGTCCCTTCCCTTCCCTTCCCTTCCCTTCCCTTTCATCTATCGTTAACTAATCCAGTACACTAAGGAAGATAAAGAATTGTCCTCTATAATTCTGTTAAATCTTTCATTCAATCAAATGGGACATTAGGGTATACGCCAAATCTCAAATTCATTGATGACATTTCCATGCCTTCAAGCAACACAATAGCAGATAATATAAAGACTATTTATTTTATATAACTTTCCTAGGTTTTTTAAGTGCTATAGAATGTTTGTATCTAAGTATGTTTTCATGATATTACCATACTTTGTTAATTATAACGTATAATTTGTTCTTATTCTTTGCGATGATGGTATAACAACGTCAATACATACATACATACATACATACATACACGTATCCCCTTCTTTACCAAAACCACTGCTTCAAAGTTAAATATGACACATTTTGGACACCTTATTGATTTCCATCCCTATCAGATATAAACTAGCGTCGTTTTCCACAATGAAATGATATTATATCATTACTAATAACTTTTGTATATCCTATGATTACATTTACGGATATCACTGACTCCACACATATATTGCAGTGTCACGATCATATCACCCACAGGGACACGGCTTAGCTTAGCCACGACTAGAAAGCAACAAAACTCAACTACATGTTTTCAATGTCGTAATTAATCACTTTTGGCTTACTTTCTGCAATTGTATTATATTTGTATAGTTCCTGTGTTATTTATAGGTTCAATTCAACGGAGCTATTCATCTTTTTTTATTTTCCTGCTTAATGTTTGCCATTGCGATCTCACGGACTTTCAGCAGACGACGCGATGAAATATTGATTGGTTGGTTGTTTCGTTAGTTATTTGATTGGTGGCTGATGGCCTGTTATCCCATATGGAGCCCCATGGTGTTATGCGCATCAACAATGCGCAGTAAATTCCATGTTTGTCTTCCGCTTTAAAACATGGAGGAAGCTTTAATACCGAAGTGTACAAGGTAAACGTTTTCGTCCTTAATTTGGAAATCATGGTTGTGTGTCGCACATGGCATCATTGAACGGGGATATACCAGGCCCGCCTAAGCCAGCGGGTAGCTGGTTAGACTTTTGCGAGCGTCATGCTCTATCTATTTCGGAACAATTTTATCGAGATTTCCTCCAGTTTATATCTCGGCCATCTAGCCCAGGAGTGGGGACGTGTGGCCCCACCCCTCGCGATCCGATGGAATTTGCTAAAAAGTTTGTGGAATATTTTCTCCATCAATTCGATCGTCAATTAAAACGTTCATCATACTACTTGGATTCTCAGGCTACCGATGTTAAACTTGCACATCGAAATAATGACGATTCTGGCGATGACCGCCGTCCATCCATCGCGAGCTCCTCACGCTCAAACTCTCAAAACGGAGGGGAAGTGGACCGACCCCTTACTGACGATTATTCTGATAATGTGACGAGCGCCAGCCCTCCGCCTCTTTCTCCTACATCTCCAAGTCCAGTCATGACGACACACAAATCGAAAGGCTTCTTCAGAAGGTTGTCTTTCCGAAATATCAAAAAGAAAAATTTATTTCATAAAACTAATCATACAAATAATACCCCTCGGGGTGGCTCCAATCAACAAAGTGGAGCCATGGAGACTCAACACCGAAAACATAAACATGGAAGTCATTCAAAGACGGACTCTAGTAAACATGAAAAATCGCGAACTTCGCTACAAGGCGAAATCATCAAGGACGGGTTAGTGAATGTTTTGACTGGTGAGGATTCAAAAGGGAAGTCACGATGGGAGAAAACCAGACTTGTACTTATCAACACAAGTGGTGGTATTCTACTTGAATTCTACTCTCCTCCAAAGGTTTGTGTATCTCCTGATAAGGTTTCTGTACAGGTGTTGTGGGTATATTCTGTCCATAATGATTTGTTGTTTTAAACTTTACCTAAACTATTGGTTACAAACGCTCCCCATTTTATTATCTACTTCAGCATTTACAAACACTTTCATCAAGATCAGATCAGATCAGATCAGACCAAATTCACAACTTATTGGGGACAAACTATACTTATTACCTTTCTTCCTGGTGTGTTCAGTTCTTCAGGTCTTCAGCCTACTTTCTGTTACAACCTTTTCCCACTATTTTCATATATGAAATGATGATTTATTACATTACATTACATGCAAACTTATGAAACTTATGTCGTTTATGTTCTTATGATTATTTACTTACATTTTTTAAGAATGCTGAAGACAAATCTTTAACAATGACAGCTAATTACACACAACTCTGCTTTAATCATTTATCCAAAACAATCTAGCATATTTCAACAAATGTTATCTTAGAGTAATTGCATGTCATATCAACTAACACTGATTCATCTATATATCATTTCCTATTTTGAAGTACTATAAGGTTTTTAGCATCAACTAATTTGTTAGGTAATTCATCTTTAAAATATTTGGGTCATGATGTATGGAGTAGGGTGTGTGTCCATGTCAACCTGTTATTGTGTTCTTTAAAAAATCACCATACAACGTTCAGGACACTCTAAAGACTTGATATTGTTAGTAGGGCTGATTAACCGCTCCAATCCTTTTTCACAAAAATTTTTGCTATTAACAGTCAATATCTGCAAATTGTAACACATTGTACTGAATTCCAAATTTGTATTTATCATCATAATGCTTTGAAACAATCGACATTTTAACACACCTCTTGATAATGACCCAACATTTTTTAAACTTTAAAAGCATTCACACAGGAACACTCTTTTTTTACACAACTTAAGACATTCACACATGGTACAGTTTCAGTTTATTGTCACAGCATCTGGAAGTTGATGTTATTGTGAATTAATTATAGTGACCTCACAGAATCTTGCATCTTTCCATAAATAAAAACAAGAAAATGGGAAATCATTCAGCAAAATGTGCACAATACCCACTTTGGGGCCTTTCAATTTCAAGATAAATTGTGCACTTCACTTGAAGGTTTTTCATGTTTCTAAATAAATCATTTTGTAGTCTGTTGTACAGTTTTTGGGTTCAATATTAAATCTATACATTATTTCTGTAAATTGTACATTTTGCAGAAATTTCACTGATTGCTTGGAAAATGATTTTAAAATTTCAAATTAGGATGTTGATAGTCATCTTCTATAAAAGTGTTTTGATTATCTGTGTCTTAAGCCTTTCAGTGATTTCAGTACTTTGATTTTGGCATGCTTAATTAGGTATAGGTACAGGTATTATACAGGTTTCATTTTGTTTTGTTTGTTTAATGTTATGTCCCCTATTGTCAACTATGGTAACTTGAGCATATGTATGTGAAATGAGAACATGTGGTGAGTATGTGCGCTTGTGGGAGGCTGCAACATATTTATTAAAGCCTTTTTATGGTGTAAAACTTATACCACATGTCAGCATTATAGTGCTGTCACACTGAAGTACACCACCAAGTGCACCTAGACACCACCTGATTACATGATAATGACAGCTAGTAAAACAATTGTTATCACTGTTAATGCTGAGTGTTAAGATTTAACTACCGATTTTAAAACACTTTCTCAGGAGACAGCACCCAAGGTCTTCCTCAAAGAGGTGTGCACTCAACTTAAGGCCAATAGTGAGACAGCATCCAGGGAAACGTCGTGAAGATTATCACTAATTTATTTGCTTCTAAGATCGGAACAGCAGCTACATAACAACGCTTTTCCTATATAAAAGATTACTTTTGGAGAAATACCCTACAAAACAGTTCTTACACAAATATATGCAGTTAAAAGTCTACTTCAAATTTGATTACTGTCATTTTGGTTTTAGAAATGTTGCTAAAAGTCGAAATTGCAGAATTGATTTTCTAATACCAGCTGCAATTACCGGTTTGTAGTGCTTAGCATTCTGCCACAGAAATTTTGATACATCATACTCATTGTGATGTTTTTCTGTGGAAAGAGACAGCTGCCTTACACATCTGTGAATGAGTTTGACCCTCAGGCTGTTGACCTTGAAAGGAATGTGGGTGCTATAAAACCCTATCACAACAACAATTTACCTGTAGCCTGTGTGTTAGGGCAGGCACATCTTTCCCTGCTGATTTCCTTGTTAAACTGTATGTGTATATATCTGATCCGCTGAGTCACACACTGTAATGTTTCTCCTGTAGCACTCTCTAGTCAGAGAACATTTTAAAAGTAAACAAATATTAACATAAAACTCATGTTTCGAACAAATTTTAAATGGCACCCAACACAGTCAAACTGTGTGTGTCTGTATATTTCAGTTAAACAACAATAACAAAACCCAAAACAACACAATATACCATAAGACCAAGACGGTTATCACTTAAATGCAAAACATTTATTCTGTTACATCATCATCCTGGTGTCTCACAATGAGGTGAAATCATCAAATTCAACACTGACTGCTTCCTGCATTGTGTTGTGTGCATAACATTCCCTTCCTCTTGATATAAGTGTTCCAGGAAGTACTCGATGTATTAAGTGTGATCAAACAACATAGGTCACTTTGATAACATTTTGAGAACATTATAGATCACTTACTTGTATGTGTAATTGAATACAAGTTACAATCAAATTCTTTAAACCTGGTAATACAGAATGTGGTCGATGATGTCCTGACAGTTTATTCAATTTTTACCTATTTTAGGTATTAGGTATTTTAGGTGATTTATCGCAAACAGTTTTCAAATTGCAATAAATTGTGTTGTTCAAAGGGATATGGTGATATTTCAATAAAATGAAAATTCCTCTTCCGTTGTAGAAAAGTTGCCGCAATATATTGTGATACTGAAAATTATAGTGCAATGTATTGACTAGTAATTTTATATAATACATTTTTGCAGTTGTTGTGTTTTTGCAGTTTCTATATCTTAAACCGTCACTAACAGATCTCTTCAAGAACTTGATCATAATTGCTCTGGATGGCTGGCATCCAATAGGTCTCAAATATGTTTCTCATTTAGGAAGCCACAACAAGATTCTTCCTTAATATGACCTTGGCTGTTGATAGACAGATAATATAACAAGCATTCATCACAAAGACATGCAATCAATGAAATCAATCAAACATTTTATTTCAGTGTCTCAAACATCATTTGTACAACAAAAAAGTATCACCTATAAATCTACATTTGTTTAAAAATTTGGCAGGTCCAACCAGTCATGATTCCTTGATAACAATTATATATATTTAATGTGTATCTTGTTCTTGTTGAAGTCTTAGATGACAATTATGAATTGTTTACTTGTTGTTAATAAATAAATTTTATATACCATAAAAGTATATTCCTAAATACATCTGGTTACATGGAAGATAAATCTATATTTTTTCGGATTCATATTTCAGTCTGTGAAGCCTAAAGCAGGTCTGTTCTGTTTTCTCATCACTGAGGCACGGGTAACCACAGCACTAGAGATGCCGGATCATGAACATGCATTTGTTCTTAAGGTAGGTTCCAGTGATTTGTTAAAAACAAAACATTTCAGGAAATATTTCATCTTCATCATTGTTCGGTTGAAGAAAACTTCATTTGTTTGCTTAGATTTTTAACTGTAAACAGGAAACATATGTCTTCCCTGAGAACATTTTCTACTGCATTGTGACTCACCACCACAGATTCAAATTTTATCTTGACAGTTATTATAAAGGGACAGCATTTGCATTTTACACTTTTCAAATTGATAATAGGAATTCCACTTTTCAAATTGATAATAGGAATTCATACGTCATGTTTTCTCACACAAGTGAGTTTATGTGGCATGACACCCACATACTGTTGTCCTTCATATTTCTGCTTTTTTAAAACACAGCTGAAAAAAAAAATTTGCAGTTATGTCATGATAATATGGCTAGTAGGTTCCAGGTAAGCAGCCTTTCAGTTTTGCAAAAAGAAATGATATTGACCCTGTTCAACATCACTGTGGTGATACTTTATAAAACTCCATTTGAAGGATTGAAAATCTTATGATATTGAACCAGGAATTTGGGATGTTTGTAGAATCATATATAAGAAACTTCCCCTGTTTCTGTTTGCTGATAATACATAAGTATCATTCCTGTGTTTATGGATTGAATGATAGTATTATGCTTATCTACAGGACAGGTCAAGTCTTCTCTTCTTTCAAACAAATTTCTATAACTCTTTTAGGCTGTTCAATATTTCCATAAAAGATAAAGTGGCTTATTAGTTTCAAAGCGACTCATATGAAAATGCTGTTCATATTTTTTGCCTGTAAGAAGGCGGAAATGTTATGAACAGTACTTCATGATAACATCAGGAATCTCTGTCATTGTATATATACCATTGTAATACCTCAACAGGTAACTTAGGAACAACTCAGTCTACATCTGTTAGGTCCTCTTTCCCTGGAATACCACCATTAAATACAATTACCATAGCTTGGATGTACTATTATTGTATCCATTTCAGAAAAAAATTCAACACTTTCTCTTATATCGGGTAACACATCCAAGCCTGTCTATTTCAGTAAAAATGTTCACATTATGATATAACATTGTCATGCAACAATTTCATAAAACACACCCTTTACTTTCAGTTAATCTTCACATTGTCGTTCTGGTCCTGTTCCTGAATCAATATAGTATATACCACTTGTTATTGTCCAAAATGCCAAACGGTCTGTTAACATACAATACTGATACCATAATTCCTCGTGATGGTCATTCAGCCTATTGATTACATTGCTTAAATTAAACTTTGTTTTACAACATTCGTGAAACAGGTGATTCCAACATATATTGATTCTTTGTCAGCCAAGATGGAAACATTGAAGGGACTTATTTTGGGGAAATCCCATGTGGTCCACTTTTCAAATCCAATTGGGAAATCATGTTCACATTCCGAGATGAAATGAAATGTGAGTGTTTACCACTGCACCAACTGACCATCATGGTTTTAATGGATAGCAGTAACAACACTTGACTGTCTGACTTACAACAGATAGTGTCAAACGACACAGGTCATGGATGTTAGATATTAAAACAATTCATAACTTTCAATTACCCAGGTAGTGTAGTTAGGAAATTTTCTTTGAAAAAATGTTTTCACTGACAAATTTTTATAAAAAAATTTTCATGCAGGGAGAAGGCACAAGTGAGTTTGTGATAGAAGCACATGACTTGCAGGACTTGAGATCATGGCTTGAGGACATCGGGCGGTACATCAGTCGACCGACGATCATAGAGGAAGCTGATGGACAGGAAGCAGCAATGTAAATATTGGATACTAGTGTCAACAGTAGTTTACATTTACACACCCACCTCCCCATCCCGTGATATTTCAGCTTACACAACCTCAGGTGAAGATCCGAGGTATATGGTTTGGCGCTCCATTAACCAGTGGCAGTATGATTCTCAAGAAACTGACAAATAGGCTGGTCTGTGCTTTTGTGGTTCCTTCTTTACCCAACACGTTTTACCCAAATTGCTATATATAGCATGCATCTGGCCTCATGTATGTTGTTCATTGAAGTAGCCACCAGCTTCTGCAAGGAGTTACTACAATGTCTGTTTCAGATAACAGTTCTTTTAGTTTTCAGTATAGAATATATCTATTTCATACCTATTACATTCTAACTCTATTTTAACATTACTAAGTAGTCGTATGTTGGATGCCTATTTTGGTATGTTGTGTCATATATGCATGTTGTTTCAATAAGTCAAAGATGTCAACAGCTAAAACGTAATTAATTACTATTCTTCAAGAAGTTTTAAATTTCAATTCTGCATTCATTACTTTGTTCTCTTATAGTGCTTTATAGGGATTTTTGGCCGGGTTGCACATTGTGCAAATCCATGTTCTAGTATGGTGAATGTCTGGCGGATGGGCGGGGAAAAGGGGTACCAGTTTTGTAGAATCAACTCCTCCTAGAGTTTCTGATGTAGAAGCTTGAAACTTTGTAGGATGATATATATATGTTGAAGATGTGCACCTCTTATTATGGATTCATTCTGGACGTTTTCCTGGTTTTCCGGGCTTTGGAACTTAGTCATTTTCTGAAACTTTTCTTGTTATCACAGTTTCTCAGAAACTACTACAAGAATCTTTCCGAAATTCCATATATAAATCAACTTGGGGCCCTAGATGTCCATTGTCTATGTTTTGAACATCTCCGAATCAAAAATGGATGCAACTTCTTTCTTCAAACGCCCTCCTTCTGCACTAGTTCATAAAATACAACCAAACTTTCTCTCCTTTAACAAATATTCTACATACTCAACAAATCAAACACCATTAACTGTCTTATAAATACATATAACATTGCACTCATCCTGCAACCGGGCCAATAGTGGCTTTGCCCCATTTTTAAGTATATATTGTTAGATCAGGTCCCAATTTCATTTCACTGATTCCAACTTGCCTTTTCTATCATAAAGACTGCTATAATTCCTTACCCTACACTTTATATGGAATTATTGCCTAATTCTTTACACCAGGTTTTAATTTTGATATGTTTTCCTATTTCAGGCGACCAAGACTACCTACAGCACCAAGTGGTTCTATAGAGAGGAAAGGTAATTTATACTGACAACCCATGAAATTTAAAATCCTACTTATCCTGTAGGAATGAATGGATAATTCCCATAGCATTCTTGGTTTAACTGGACCAGTGAATTCAAGTCACCTGGGGTTGAAGGGGCGTTTTCCAATTGGGGAGATGTTAGTTCTTGAAAGTCTTTCTTACCAAAACAAGCAATTTTTATGAATAGTGAATGTGACCCCTGTTTGACCACATTTTTTGTCTTCTCATGTGAACATTTAATCACTGAAATATTAAGACAAGACACATGTATTAAATGTCCTTTTACATCAGATTGCAAATCTCCAATTTATTTAATTATGGTATGAAAATCACAAAAAAAGTACCCATGGAAATTACCAGCTGTAAAGTATCTTTAATGAGATATTTTCTGGCATTTTTAGCCCACCATCTAATAGATGGTGGGTTATTCAAATCACCCTGAGTCCGTGGTCCGTCCGTCCGTCCGCAAACAATTCTTGTTACCGCTATTTATGGAAAAGTACTGGATGGATCTTTCTCAAATTTCATATGCAGGTTCCCCTTGGTCCCTAGTTGTGCAATTGTACCTTTTTGGAACTGATTCGCATTCAAGATGGCTGACAGGTGGCCATCTTGGATTTTGGAAGTAAAAGTTTGTTACCGCTATTTCTGAGAAAGTACTGGATGGATCTTCCTTAAATTTCATATGCAGTTTCCCCTTGGTCCCTAGTTGTGCATTGTACCTTTTTTGGACTGATTCGAATTCAAGATGGCTGACAGGCAGCCATCTTGGATTTTGAGAGTAAAATCTTGTTACTTCTATATCTGAGGAGGTACTGGATTGATCCTTCTGATATTTCATAGATATTGGTTTCCCTTGTTGTGCATTGTACCTTTTTTGGACTGATTTGAAATCAAGGTGGCCCACAGGCAGCCATCTTGGATGTCGACAGTAATACAGCACAAGCATATTGTCCATTATCCACCTGTAACTGACTGCTATCTAATAATACTTTGGGATCTTTTTCAAATGATATTTGCTAATAGGTGCTTAATAAAAATATCTTGTGCCATCATTGAGTACATTCAATGAAGACCAGTTCATGAACATTTACAACACCTGTAACAAACAAAAAAAAATAAACAAATCTTCAAGAACTGAAAACAGATCCTCAAATGGTGGGCGCCAAGATCCCTCTGGGATCTCTTGTTCAAAATATTATTGAAAAAGGTATTTATCAAAGCAAACACTCCCTCTCTTTGTTGACTTTGTCAATATTTATACAGTAGTGCCAAAAAAATTGATTGGTGATATGATCTATCACTGTGTACTCTTAAAAGGTGCTACACAAATAAATGTCACCATAGATTGCTTTTGAAAGACTATTTAAATGTACAACAGACAATATTAACTAATTTTCACTAATGATGCTGGGCTGTCATTGGAGAGAAGTTATAACATCAAGTTGTGAAATCCCAAAGGAAGATCATTGACGTGAGGTTTGATCTCAGTAGGCTGAGATTTGTAAGGCCTTGTGCTGTCATGTTAGTATTCAGGGACCATTTCTTATGTGTTTTATGGAACAAGACTTAGTATTTTAATACTATTCTAATACCTTTCATCTGTAAACAATTTAACAATTTCAAGATGAACCAAAGTTGTGAATTATACAGTCTCCACCCCCACCGGGAGCCTGAGAAGCGGGCAGGGCCAAAAGGGGGTCATCAAATTGACTCAGATTTCAAAAATCTTCTCAACACCCACATATGGTAGAATCAAGTGATCTTGATGGGTGGAAGCATCTTAAGGTGCTTTGATTACCAAAATGAATCTCACATTTCTACCTGGGGAGGAATATTTTCTTAGACTTTACTGTTATTTTCATAGAAAAAATGTAATTTTGAGCATAACATTGATTATTTCCCACTGGAAATAAATTTATAAGCACTATCAGTGTGGGATAACAGTTTTGATGGAATACATGTATTGACACTGTCTATATTCAGAGTCGCAATTTGTTGTTTCATTACACTTGGTAACTATTCTTTAACCTTTATATTCAATATTGCTTATCTTGGGTGACTGTCCAGGCCGCAAGACCTCTTGTTAAATTCTTGTGAGCCTTTGGCAAAAAACAATTTGTGATGAGTTTCATAAATCACTTATCAAATCCAAACGAAGGTCTTTTGTATCACATGATCTACTTTTTAAGCAAACTTCGTAGGAAATGGACTTTTCCATGTCATTTTGACACTATATAGATCAATATCTTTGCCTTCTGTGATATATTCACTGAATAATAAGTCAAACATTTAATAAATTTCTACAATGAAGCAGTCCTACATATTTAATCTATTCCTGATCACCATTGTTTCTATGATTTCCTGGTTTTTCCGTTTTTAATCTTTTAGAATTATCATGTTGACTTATACCTGTTCTAGAAACCTCGTCGCTCGGTGTTCCGATACGGAGTACATCACAGGGTAGCCTCAACAGTAATCCTCCTGATGTTCCTCCACGTCCGGGACCACAGCGGCCACTTAGTTCCCATGGAGATATCCCACATACCAGTCGTCTCTCAGCAGAACTAAACCCTTCACGTTTTGGCAATGAAATTCGTATGTATCATGTCTACTCTTTCACACTTTGCTCAAATGTGTGTCACATAATTCAATTTGTGCATCTCTCAACAGTGTTATCACTATAAAAAACAAGTGTTACAGAGACATTCAAAATTGCACATTATTATGTAGTCTATACACAATTTTGTTTAAGAAGTTTATAGGTGTGAAAGTGTCCTAAGTAACATTAGGACCTCTTCATTGATGGAATTTTAAATGGATTGATTGGTGGTGTGAACTGGTAATAAGTAGTTAGTATCTTTACTTAGAAAGGTCACTTTGCTGAAGCTAAACTAAAGCTGTATGATGTGGTCAATATCAAATGCAAAAAACTGCTGTAACAGACCATACTCATGCTGAACCAAATTATTCAAAATATTTCCAAGCTATTTAGGATCAATTGATACTATGTAAAAGTTCTCTGTTATACAGAAGTCATTGTATATACCACAACACTTCTTTTAACTTACATATTTAACATTAACAGCACATTTATCATACAATATCACTGCATTCAAACCTTTAAAAATATTTCTTAACGAATATCAAGTTAAAACTTCTTTGAAATAATTTAAAGATTGCATTGTTAGGAAATACAACAGGTAAAGGGAGATAATTTCTTTTTTAAATACTAGACTCCTGATTTTAATGAAATTTCATTAACACAAGAGTTTTATTTATTAGCATACATAGTGACATAATTAAGAAATATAGTTTAATTTTATTTGAATATGTCAAAAAATAACTTAATAATTATAAAGAAAGAAAATGATGCCAATGCCAAAGAAAGAATTTGATGCCAATGCCACAATCAACTCCAAATTGCAGCATTTCTTATGAAATGTTCCAGTCAAAGGGAGATAATTGGATATTTTTGTCAAATAAAATTGATGACAAAACCTTGTTAATCACTTAGCTACATATATCTGTGTGTTATGGGTTTTCATATAAGTTTCTGTCATTTCTGACAAATTGACTGAAATTCATTTAACGGTCTGAAAAGATTCTTAATCTTTATTTATGAAATGTTTATATACATACCAAGATTTCATTACAAATAAATATTTCACTTCAAATTCTTATAGAGAGTGGCTGTATTTTTATAATTTCTTATGACAAGGAATTAACAATCAATTCTACCATTAGGTCCAGAAAATGTTAATGCTGTAGAGGCAGGGTTCATTAATATGGAAATTGATTAAATATTTACATAACGTTGATACATTTAAATGATATTTCAATATCTTATGTTCCAGTTGACACTTGTAACTACTTCAGTAGGATATGAAAATAAAATAATTATCATATATTTAATATAAATACACATAACATGAAACAAATTATTTCAGCAAGTTCATTCCTGCCAGGTCAGTCTTGATAATCTTCTCCTAATTAAGTAATTTCTCAAGTACAGCATTAGATACTAAGACAACACGACAAGGAATAAAAAGCTGGTACTCCAAATTTTACTGTGTACCTCATTGATGTAAAGTACTTAAACTCTTTAAGATCAATATTTCTTAACTGATATTTCAATAATTATTTCATCCACTTCGCTTACTAAATGGACCATGTGCAATGGTCAAAGGGAGACAATTTTATTTTTTTTTTGTGAAAAGCAGAAAATATATATGGAATGCTTTAAATAATTCGGATTTAAGGTATTAAATTCTTTTAACATGTGGATGGTGATTTGCCATTTCTGAAGATTTTGTACAGAAGATAGATAGAAGATTAAAACCAAAATGAATTTCATTAGAAAGGAAATTAAAATTAAGAGGAATTCCAGTGGACAGCAGATTACAATTTAAGATATTTTCATTAAACAGTAGATTTATCATAAAAAAATCCCATTAAAAATATTTGAATAAAAAATAATTCCATTATCCTGAAGATTAAAAGTAAAAAAGATTTATATTTGACAGGATATTTCAATTAAAAAGACACGAGATATGAATTAAAATGAATTCCATTAGACACGGGTTTTGAGTTAACAAGAATCCCATTAATGTTATAAAGCAAGCAAGAACCTTCTTAACATTATCTTCTTTATGTACATCATTGAAAACATATTTTAAAAAAAGTGTTGAAGAAGCAATCTGTGTTATATTTATGACGAAAATTTCCCACATTTATTTGGACCGATGGTATTGTACAGTATTTTACATCAGGAGATCTAAGTTATTGGGCAGTGTCAGAGCAGCTGGCATACTTCTTAGACAAAAGACAATATTTCTCAAGTAATTCTTATATCTTTAATGATTCAAATAGACATAGATTTTAATTGAAAAAGAAGTGTATATTTTTAGTTCTTGACTTTCAATGGTGAAAAATATGACATTCAGGTTTTGACACCAGAGTGGTAAAATCATTTCGTGGTGAAGTGGGTATTCCATATGATATACTAGTTTTTATTTTCAGCTGATGGTCAGAGGGATTCACAACCGTCAGCAGAGACCCAGATTGATGTTCTCCTTCATGATTACCCATGGTTCCATGGTACACTTTCCCGCCTCGAGGCAGCACAGCTTGTGCTTCAGCAAGGCCAAGTGGGTCATGGAATCTTTCTTGTACGACAAAGTGAAACACGCAAGGGTGAATACGTGCTCACCTTCAACTTTCAAGGACGTGCAAAGGTAGCTTGAAATAGCACAACACTTTGTTATCATTTATCAATACTGAAACGTTTACTGGTTAGATGGTTATGCCATTGGAGATATTGTTAGTTAAGGCTTTTCAAGTTGGTTTAAGGCCTGCTTATGTTATTCTGAAGTTTTACTTATCTAAATCATACAGGATAACTATCCAAATTTGTGGCCAGATATTATAAAAGAACTCTAGAATTGTTGGATTTTTTTTCTGAATAATGATTTTGCATATTTTCATTTTCCATTTTCCATGATTCTTAAAAAAATTTCAAAAGCAGTCTTAGATGTATACGATGTTTTATTTTACTGAGGGAAAGGGCTTCTCTAGGCATTACCTGTTGCACAATTTCCATTAAATCTTTTTCGATTTAATAAAATGATCTTGAAATGAAAATGTTTTAATTTTCAGTTTTCTATGCATTGCTTAACAACTTTTACATATTGCATAATTTTCCCCTAACTGTGATCAACTTATAAGATGATGTCATAAAATTTGATAATTGGAGATCTTTGAGGCAACAAACATCAACAGTAGGTAATTAGGAAATGAGTAATGATCAGTTGCAGACTGATGTATCAGTGTGGTTGCATATCCTGATTAACTATAGTTATTCTGAGACCGGAAAATTATTACATGCCACCTACATTTTAAAATAACTGCAAACCAGCATTCTGCTTCATTATCAGTTAATTCAATTTTCCAGGTTTTAACTGTTACTTAATTGTAATTGCAGCATTTGAGGATGACGATTAACTCTGATGGACAATGTCGTGTGCAGCACCTTTGGTTCCAATCCATCTTTGACATGCTGGAACATTTCCGGACACATCCAATCCCATTGGAATCTGGTGGATCATCAGATGTTTCTCTTACTGACTACGTTGTTGCTATTGAACGCCCCCTCACACCCACCATGGGTCGCGGCTCACCACGGATACGAGGGTCAGGCAATCATTCAGGGTCCAATCCTAATTTAGGAGGACGTAGTCCGGGGGCAGTTGGTGGCCAATCAGATCTGTCGAGCCGTGATATCGTTGTTGTGAGTGGCTCAGTGAGAGCCCGGACTGAATCCATTGAGAATGTCATGAGGGAGCAAGGTCAAGCCCAGGCTCAAGGTCAAACGCTACATGGACGAGCAATTGAAAACCAGTATTCCTATGTATAGATTTTATTGTCATTTATAAAAGTTGATCGACAATTATTGGCTTCACACTTATGGTCCAATGATTGCCAGTCGTGTTTTATTAAGGTTGATGAGAAAAAGGCAATTATAAATATCAAGGTCACAAGGGTCAAATTTGTAGTCTCTTGGGTAATGAGGAAACAAATAAGTCTGACGTGACTTGAGACAATGTGTGATAATACATTTTCATACTGAATCTTCAGGGAAGATGCCTTGAACTAAGGATTAACTTCACTGCAAAAAAAAAAAAATAATAAATAAATGTGCAATTATTATAATCAATACATTATATCTTATTTACTGAAGACTCTGACCAAGTTACTGTTAACATATTTACTTTTGAAGCTCCTTTAATCAACATTCTATATACTTATTTTCACCATGATTATGCTGAGACCATTTTAAGGCGGCATATAGTGTTACCCATGTTGTTGTCAAGACACATCTTGTCACAATTCACTGTGAAGTCAACTACAACAATAGTTTGAATTCTTTAATGTTAAGAGTTTCTTTGGTCAAGGTCACAGTTACTATTTACAGAAATCTGTCAAATATTGTTTATTGTACCTAATAATCTGTTATTACAAAGGGAAGAGATTCATATATTACAGAGATTTTCTAGATAAGATAAATGACAAATTTAAAACACTAGATAAATATTGATCACATTGTTGTATATTCCTGATGATGAGAACATTGTATGGTTTACTCTCCTGAAATCAGCACCTTAGAGCAGATTTGAGACATCCAATGATACAACCAGATTTCATTATCTTGAAATTCAGAAGAAATTTTATGCTTGTTTATACGCTTATTTTACAACTATGTTATATATTGTGTATAGTACTTTGTACTATATTCTGATTGTGCTAATGTAAGTATGTTGACAGTAAGGTCAAGGTCTTTTATAGAAGGTGAAGGTCATGTGATATATTTGGAGATTAAATTGAATGGATAAGTTGAAAGAAATGGTTGTACCTCTCTGTTGTTTGAATGCTATTCTACATTTTTTAGATTGTTTTTTAATGATGGCTGCCTCAATATTTGTAGAGCACCGATATGAAGCATACCTTTTAATTGTATGTATGGATGTTTTGAATTTTAATAACAGTATGCTTATTTGTATGAATGCCTTATATTTAATATGTGTAGATATGCTTTCATATACATTCTTTTTCAGCTAATATGCTTTATTTTCACAATCTCTACTATTTATTAGTGATGGGATGATATTGAACATATTCAGTTATCCAATCATTTTACCTGATGCAATGATAGATTGTAATTTTTTATAAGCATCGGTACCGTATTATTTTCTTGCATTTTAGCAAAAATCAAATTCATGTTATGCATTATACAGATGCCAATTGCCAGTAATATTCAGTGTCTTACCCCAATTCTTGGGAAGTGAGTTATTTCAGGTTCAAGTACCAAAAAAAATATCACTACAGTGAAGAAAGCATTCAATTGCTATTAGCATTGTACAGAGAGTCAGACAATTATGTAATTGATTAACTACATCAGGAAACCTAAACAATTTTGACCAATGATCAATTTTAGATTTGAACCAATTTTAACATTAAGGACATTTCATTAACAACAGTTAATACTCAAATGTACAAATTCATTTGTGATACAAATCTTCTGTTTAACTTTAACTTAAGAAGATTTTGTTCACTTTACATTGATTTTCTGCAAGCACAGAGCTAAAATACATACAGACATAGTGAAAGTTGAAGATATACTATGTTTTATGACTCAAAATAGATTGCTTTCTCACATCTTTCTCACAGTGCTTTTTTTCCCCATAATTAAGGAAAAATCATTGATGTATTTTTCAATTTTAAAGAAAATATCACTGTCTTATATCAGCACAGGTTGCTCTAAAATATAGGTTTAAAGGGAAAAACACTGATTATATAATGGTGCATACAGTGAGCCAGCTACATTGTATACAAAGATAACTTTCACAGCAATTAGGAACATTAAGTAGATATACACAGTGAAACTGTTACTCATTATATGGAACCTGTACAAATAAACAGATACAGAAATTGTTTATAAAATCCCGTAGAAACTTTACACAAAAAAACTTGCACTGAAACCAAAACTTAAAAAGGAAAAAACACTTAAATGATCAATAAGCACATGTGTTGTAGTCCATTTTCAGTTAAATTTCAACAGGAGTCCTGACATAAGGGCTGAAACATGTTGGCCACCAGTGCAGTAGGCAGACAAATAGTATACTGATTGGATACCAAGCTTTTGGAGTTGCTCCTTGTCTTTCCTTATTTACTATAACCAAAGAATATAAGATATACCACAAAAATATATCCTATTACTTACTCTTCGTGTAAAGAAGCAAAAATATATTTTGGGAAAAGTTAAGTATAACAAGAATAGGAAATTAAATTAGATATGCCCAATTTTCAATAACAAAACAGAAACTTCAAATAACTATGTAGCAGTTTCTCACTACAGACATAGAACAGTGAAAAAATAAAAATATGTAATCTTATTTATATATTCGTATTTTTTGCCTTTATCAACATAATTTAGGCGTTTTAGAATTAATCACATACTGTAAATCACTTATATTTTGAGCAGTATATTTTCTTCTTTTTTTTTCATTATGCAGGAATAGTTAATAGCAAATTCAAATCAAGATTATTTGTAGGAAAATAACTATGGATGTCATCCATGATATCTTGTTATGGCTATAGGAGTCTTGTTCAGAGTCTCTAATGACTCATCATTCGAGAATTTAAAGTCATTTCTAAATCAGCATTTGCAAATATGTCTGAAGAGATAAGTTACCTTTGTTGAATTTTATATAGCTAACTGATTTACAGTTCTCGTATATTATACATTATAAAACTTTACAGTCACATAATGCACTTTAAAGTACAGTTATTACAACATCTCGTAAGGCTGAATATCATATATTCATTTGACCTTACATTAAACAGCTTATTTAGAAACAAATCAAGAGATAAAAAGGCCAGGTGAATTTTAGACATTTGACATTATGTTAATTTCACCATTAAGAGTTTATCTACAAACAAATTAAGTGGGAAAAAAGATAATAAGGTGGTGTAACTTGTTTATTTTACCTTAAACAGTTTATTTAGAAACAAGTAGCCAAAAAAAAAAAAAAAAGGGAAAAAGAAATAAAGTTGGCTGACTTGAGAAATGTTGAATACATGGTTTTCAGCTTTCAGTATTTTTCACTATTGTAATTTACACCATTGTTGACCTACCAAGCTCCCATTCCCTTATAACTAGCAAAACATTTTCTCTTACTTAAGTGTTCCAACCATATTTCTGCCATACTTTCACCATATATTATCAACTTACTTGAAAGCAATGTAAAATATGTCACTCGAGTGTGAATTTTTTTTTGCAATCTACCCATGGGTGCTTATTAGGTCATAACTGTGTATGGAAAGTATCGACATGTCGTAATATTCATTGCATCACAGTATCATATTTACTTCAATCTCAAGTCCTTCTTGTTGTCTTTATTCTCGCGACATTAATTGAAAAATTCATGAACATGCATTGTGAAAGTTCTGGAGATGACATGATCTGCCAAATTAACCACACACAGCACGCTTTGTCATACTTGTTAAATGTTTTGTTCAGAACGTGCAAAATAAATGCTGTAAACTGATTTGATTTTGTGGAGTTGTTTTTTACTTACGTATCTGAATGATTCCTCTGGCAGGACTGAGCTTTGAAGACAAAATGTCATAATGAACATTTGATAAATATTTAGTATCTTACATGTGTTTCCATTTCAGATTGATGAAATAGGTTACATCTGTCATATTAGCAAGTGAGCTAATGTCGCGCTAAGTGGTCCATCTATCAACAAGTTCATCTTTTCCTTTAAATTCTTTTCAAAAATCAAGAGGATTAGAAGCCAGGTATTTGAGCAGTAGTCTGTTCAGGTGAAAGACTTTCAAGCTTGTTCAGATATGTCACTTTCTTCCCTTTACAAGGTCAGAGGGGTCAAATTTAAAAAAACATGAAAATTTCAAGCTTTTTTGAAATTATTATTCAGGATTGTAGTATAAAGTTAGTAATGTATTAGCATTTAGGATTATGAAATTTGTTTAAATAACATTGGATTCACTTCAGTAAGGAAATAGAGATTTTAATGTATTATCACCAATTTGACCTGTTTTCAACAATGTCACTATTTTGTTACTATCACAATCCTTGGGTACATAGGGTATAAGTTGAGAAAGTCTTTTGGTTTGTTGCCATCTTGTATAAAGTGTATACCTTGGTGCAAATACAATGGAGTAAGTCTATTGATAGGAACTGCCAAGAAATGATGCTGTCACAATACAGTGAAAACCAATAGCAATTGTGACATCTCTTGCCTGCCATTCCATTTTTTGGCTTTTCATATTAATAGGGTTACTTTATTGTATAAAAATTTAAAAACCATCTAGTAATATTGTAATGGGATGACGGGCAAATGTTTCATTTCATAGTGTTACCACTGGTTGGGGTAGGGAGTTGAGGTAGGGGTTGGAGGAGGGAGATGGTAGACATATAGTGTTACCACTGGTTGGGGTAGGGAGTCGAGGTAGGGGGTCGGAGGAGGGAGATGGTAGACATATAGTGTTACCCTGGTTGGGTAGGGAGTCGAGGTAGGGGGTTGGAGGAGGGAGATGGTAGACATATAGTGTTACCATTGGTTGGGGTAGGGAGTCGAGGTAGGGGGTTGGAGGAGGGAGATGGTAGACATATATTGTTACCACTGGTTGGGTAGGGAGTCGAGGTAGGGGGTTGGAGGAGGGAGATGGTAGACATATATTGTTACCATTGGTTGGGGTAGGGAGTCGAGGTAGGGGGTTGGAGGAGGGAGATGGTAGACATATATTGTTACCATTGCTCATCATTCCTTGGTATTTTCTTCCTGCTCATTTACACTTTAATGGATAAAGACATAGAGCTATACTTTGATGTAAATTTGTTCTATGATAATATGCAGGTCAAGTTTTTGATATGTTTAGGGTTGATTAATTTGACCTAGAGTTTTAGCCATTTATCATGAAAAATCTCAATAAAAAATTTCAAAAATTTGGTTTGACCAAAATTTGAGAGCTTTGTCTAACTCCCATTGGAATTTGAAATCAAAAGAATATTTTCTTTTAAACCACAGAAGGAAGTAAGGATTTGTATTTATCTTCCGCATCGTGTTTGGTTAAATGAAGTTTACCCAGGGGCTGCAAACCCTCAACTTCCATGTCATAATGATAACAAGAGTCCCATATTTGGTTTAAATGTTTTTTAATGGTGTGGATGGTATGGTTATATTGATATTAAAGCATGGTGTAAGATTTACCAATCAAGGCTGCAGTTTCGCAGTTAAGGTATAAATGTCTGTAGAATGATAGACCTACAACACCTTTGTCATTCTCAATGTTTATGGATTTGATCGCATAACTCTTAATATGATACGAAGAAAAAGATGACTGCTGTTTCACCATCTTAAACCAAGGTTTGTTTGGTAAAAGCCATGGATTAATGTAAATCTCACTAGCCATGAATTAATATTCATGGTTTTAAATGCCTATTCTCAAAGTTGTTAGGTCAATGTTTTATGAATATCAGCAAACCATGTGAAGTAGGATCAGAAAAAACAAACTGGAAGATAGCTTCAACATCAACATCAACATCATCATCATACTATGTATCAACCATTTTTCCTGAAAATTTAAACCAGTTATAAACAACCTATGAGATTTTGATCAAATTTGTTCAGCAGCATCCTTACGGGATGGAAAACAAATGCCCCCAGGAGGCCTGAGGCGTTGGGTCAAAATGGGAAAATTTGGATATTTGGATATAAACATTGGGACAAAGAAACGGCCTGATAAAGGAAATAGGGTTTTTACTTTAAATCCTACTCTGTAGGACAAGGCAGGAGGAGGATGAGTCCGACCATTATGTGGGTGGTGGGCAGAGCGAAATAGGGAAAATAGAGTAACTGCTCTAAAATCATTCTTGTGTAAGAAATAGCAGGATTTTATCCAAATTTTGTCAGAAGCATACTTACTTGAAAGAGGTCATTTTTTTTTATAAACAGTGGGTCTAACCCCTGTAGGGATTGAGGGGCATGACTCAATATTAGAAATTGGGAAATAACTTTAAAATCCTTCTATTTTTTTTTTTTAATTATTTGAATTTGGCCAAATTCCATCTGAAGCATCCTTGAGTGAAAGGAAATCAATTTTGTATAATTGATGTGTTTTTGATGCTCTGCCATTAAATTCTGCCTCTGTCACGTTTTCTTGACCTATTTCTGGTTTAGTTAACATCTAGTGCTAAGGGAAAGATGAAAGGTATTTAAGCCAAGCTGTAATTTGGACCTAGAAACTCTGGATGCATTGGCCATGTGAAGTAAGTGCCTAGTGACCAATTGAATTACTTGGTGACAAACCATTACTCATGCTACTAAAACAGAACTTATACATATTTTTGATGCCTCCATATTGAAGTTAATGACTATATCACAAAAATGGAAGGATAAGTCAAATTTCTGCAAATATGGAAACTGCAGAATTATACTATGATAACATTGTTAAATAGAAATGCATTCAAAACTAAAAGTAAGAAAACTTTATCTCCAATTTTATCATATCAAAGTCTTTATACCAATATTGATTACTAAGTGATACTATTAGTAAAGGGTAATTGATTATATTTTCAAACATTTTTCAAACATTTCATGGAAAGAACTTTCCCATTCTGCATGTTCAGATACATGGTGGTGACACACCCCTTTCTCGCACAGTAATCTGACTCATCTTCGCGAGAGTTATCTCCCTTCACCGGAACAGTTTTGGTGTTATTGGCGCTCGACTCCGAAGATGGCGACAGGTTCGTATATTGTTTTTCTTGTTTTTCACTTGGTGTGACTTGGATACAACACCCGATTGGACATCAGTGTATACCTGCATGAACTCACCGACATTCTTTCTGTTTATTTTTCATGTCGAATGGCTGCTACAGACAACAGACAGGTAAGGTGACGTCTTCTTCCGACTCGGGATGAAACATTCCGAAATTCTGCAAATAACAAAAACATGACAAGTCCGTGAATTGATCTGGTGCAAAAACAGATAAGTGAATACTGTTTGTTTTCATGGTTGATTTTAGAATGTAATATTCCAGTAGTAACACTACAAACGTAAGATGGGAAATCTGGGTCAACGTGACACTTGTAAATCTGCAACCAGTTTCATCAACTGTGAAAATATTGAGATGCATGCTGGGGCTCACCAAAGGGGAGATCTGGGACAAAGGCTGATATCACAAACACAAGGTTGTAGACAAATTCATGAATTAAAAACTATCATTGATAACTTTTCAGAATGAATTAAGTTCGATTTAATAACATTGCTGTAATACACATTTACAGTTGGGTGATTTTACTTGACAGTTTGACAGTTTGGTAAAGGGTCCACCCAACACATGTTGCTCGACATTCACAGTCTCTAAGACCTTACTGTTATTTAGATCGTAATTCATATGGTCAAACCTTTGTATATAAATGTTACACCTATATTTATACAAAATACCTGTTATACATAAAAAAAGTAGGTTTTTAGAAAAAAAAAATGTATATTGTACATTATATTGATATAACTTTCTGTATGGTTTGGGAGGTCAGTTACTGGGGAACAGGTCACATCAGATGTAGATGTAGATATGATTAAATTGACTTTTGTGTGAATTTAACTCTGGTTAAAGACTATACTGCTGGGCTAGGAAGACAACTTTCGTTTAGCTCAATCAATTGAGCATTAGTGAGCCATAGGGCTTGGGTTTGAATACTCGTAGAGGCAGTGAAATAAATAATGACCTCTGTTTCATGAAGTATGCAATATGACAGATACATAAATTAAGCTATGAAGTCTACATGATAGAGACTCTGATCATTAAGTGTTTGCTTTTATCAAGAATCAAACCTGCAATCTTTTAGGTATTCTGATCTGTGACTGCTGAGCTACAGGAAAATTCCCTCAAATACTAATATTGAGTGGTTTTACATGATTCTCTGGTTTGCAAACATACACTCCTGATGTTTGAGTGTTTGTCAAATCAGGTACCTCCTTACTTCCATGTCTGCTACACTCCATCTGATTTTAAATACCAGTAAACTTCAAAATGAAACTAACTGATGTTTAAGTAATGTAACTTTACTGAACTGTACAATGTCTGTTCTTTCAATGCTATATTAAAGCACATGTATAAAGACATATTCAATACAGAAGTATTTCTTCTTTACTGGTTTTGTTTAGTTGGTAGAATGAGAGGACCCCAGGGAGCCCTGATGTTATTTATAACAATCAAAAGTAAAAGGACTGTAAACATTTTATTTTACAAGCAAGTAAAACATCATGATTCAATACCTGATACCACTCTGTTGATAAGTACACACTCACTCTAGTTATTTCTCAGATGATCAGGTTCGGTCTACAATATTGAATCCACTTATATTATTATATCGGATAAAAACTTTTTGTAAAGCAATTAAAATCCACATATATGATATTTTTTCAACACATAGAATGAAAAATTGTATTTGAAAATTGTTTTTAAATATAATAAATTTTGTTGCTCTTAGATGATTATTTATGGCGAATCTGTCCTACAAAATTATATTATGTAATCATAGCAATTGTAGAGTGACATGTGTTTGACCAAAAGGTTGGGTTTCAGGTTAGAACAAAAGTTGTTGGGTTTTCACTTTCCAATTAGAAACCAATTGAATTGAGTATTCTTTACAAGATTGACTATTCAGAAAGACTTCATTACCATCTTACTGACAGCCAGTTGTCATCAGATTTCATCTTACTGACAGCCAGTTGTCATCAGATTTCATCTTACTGCCAGCCAGTTGTCGTCAGATTTCATCTTACTGACAGCCAGTTGCCATCAGATTTCTGTTGGATGTTTGTGATACCAATCTGAAAAAATTCCAACTTATTATTTCTTGCAGATGAGCTCAAATATAAGCTACATAGTTCCAGTTGGTTACTTGAGTGAACAAAATTTCATGTTGTGTAAACAAGGTTACACATTGGATGACTAGCTAGACTACATATTGAATGAATAAGAAAATACACTGAGTGAACATGATTACATATTGCATGAACAGACTATATGCTGAGTAAACAAAATTACATATTGGATGAATTAGCTAAACTACATATAGAGTGAACAAGATTACATATTGGGTGAACAATACTACATGCCAAGTGAACAAGACTTCATAGTAGGTGAACTAGATAGACTACATACTGAGTGAACAAGATTACATATTGGGTGAACAATACTACATGTCAATTGAACAAGACTTTATAGTGGGTGAACTAATTAGACTACATACTGAGTGAACAAGATTACATATTGAGTGATTTAAACTTACATATTAAATGAACAAAAAAAACCACTACATATTGGGTAAATTAGACTTTATTGGGAATACAAAATGTGTTAGACTGTTCATGTTTTTATTAAGTGAATTAAGATGCTTTGTGTCTGCTTCAGAGAAGAGATGTCTTGAACATTTCAAAAGTGTATTAGATATTACCAGAGAAAAATTTAGAATGTTGGTGAAATCAGGTACATTACTTGGTTGTGGTTGCTATCTTTATATATGGGACAGTCTAAATGCTTGTAGTACTCCAGATTATAAGTCTCAGGCTGTGTTGTAGCTGGAGGCTAAATTAGACAGATCTAGATAGGTTTGACAAGATGTGTAATCTTCGTATTGTGTTTCCCACACTACAGGTGTTTTCTGTAGGAAATGGAACATTAGACAGTAAAAGAAGGAGAAAAAAGTGAAAATTAGTAAAGTTCAAAATATTTAGATTTTTTTTGAGGTTTTGATGCTCACAATCAGCTAAATAACACTTTAACACAAAGGCAATTGAGTGTGAATAAATGATAAATTTGAAACTGAACTTGAAGTTGTTGTCCTGCAAATAATTGAATGACAGCTTAACTTTGTCTTACAATATTTGAAGGGAATGATTTTGTATGTGTAGAAATAAAGAGTAGTTCTACTTGAAACTGATATCAGTAGATATGGGTGGGTGCTTTATGAGACATGGATTTGTTGCAAAAGTAACACAGAGTTTGAAAAGTTTTTCAATATTGTACTTAAAATATATAGATATCATTTGATCATAAACTTTGAAATTCAAATCTGTTCAAGATTGGGAAATTTCAATGCAATCTTGTACATTAATTAACAGAATTTTTTAAGACAAATAAAAAGCTAACATAATAATAAGGTGTTAGTATAATATTAATGTTTACAAAATATTTATCTTTCTACATGTGCACATGTTGCTGCCCCTATCCAAAGGGGATCACCCCTATAACAATAAATGGACCTTCTCTTTCATCAGAGATAAGCTGCAGCTGTTGGGAGGGAGTTAGGTAGGTAATCTTTAGTTTCGTGATGATAAGTGTTTCTAACATTCCCTGCCTTTTTGCCGCAATGCCCAGTGTTGTATTGGTTAAAGTATAGCAATTCTTTGTGATGAACCAAAGAAAATATTGACATATTATCAAAACCATTATTCCAACTCAAGATCAATGATATTAAGTCAAAATATGAACAAAAGAAAGATTTACATGGGAAACCCTTGAAAAAATACAGAAAATAAGATCAAGTGTTCCGGAAGGGTAACAGAGCTCTTAATCATTGAAAATTGTTATTTGTTGTGATTTTAGGGGAATAACATCTGTTTTTGCAAGAAGAAACAGAGTTTTTTTTCTATTGTAAAACATGGCAATAATATGACAGAGTTGAACAGAAAGGACAGTGGCTTCAAAATTGTCGCACAATATATGGCCTTGCAAGTAAAGGTTAAAAACCTTAAGAACATAAAAATAGAAACATGAAAAAACATCCTATCTTTGAAGTAGGAAAACTGAAAAATGTGAGCACAAAACAAAACATACTAAATAAAATTGAATTACAAAATAAGTCATACACATACAATCATACAACATGAAGACAAAGAAGAACAAAACAAAAGACGACAAGATAACGCAAACGTGCCATTATCCCCACACCCCACTGCTTTAAAGAAAGACACGATCATATATATCTGTTAATATTACAGCAAGTTTAATTTCTGTTTGTTATTTTTATTTGTTCCATACAAAGTATTTAAATGGAGAACTTCTACTAGAGTACTACCTTGATGCCTGTACAAAGTTTTGAGTAACATGTAATTACCTTGAATGGTTGAAGAGACCCAAAAAAACTTCAAATTTGGCCTTTCAGGTTCCATGATAACAGAAAAAGTATTTAAGTGGAGAACATCCCCATAGCAAACGATACTACTAGCTTAATAAGTGTAAAATAGAGTAATCATCTTTTATGGTTTCAAAGCATTTGGTCATAAAACCTGAAATTTGTGATGAGGATTATCTGTTTACATGATAACAGGAAAATGTATGAAGAAAGTCTTTGATAACATATCTAGACTATAAAATTGATAAAAGGAATCTTAAAAATAAATCTACGAGATTTTCCTTTTCACAGTTACAGAGATTGCAGAGAAGACTATGTATCGTCTTTGCTTTAAAAAAGACAGGATTTTGTAGTCAAAATATAGTGAAAGACAATATGATTTTAATCAAGGCGATGCTTATATGTTAAACCAGTTCTCATTATTAAAATCATAATGTTCTCACCCACCCTTTTCTTTCCTCTTTGCAATAGAGAGTTTTCGTTCTGGTTAACAAATCATAAAATGCTTAAGTACCTTCAGTTTTTTAAGCAATGTTGACTTGTTTTAGTAGAAAAAAGCAAGTTGTAAACACTGCTGAGACTTTTCTGTTATACACTGTGATTTAGAAAAACAATATGAACATATATGTATGTAAATGAGTTTGTCATGAAAATGTTTTGTTAAATTCACCAATATTACATAAACTGCCTCTTTCCGAAAAAAAACCAAACCACATATAGTTATCATTGTGCCTTATAAGTGTTTGCTGGAAATTTCTAATCATTCAAATACTTGGTCGTAATTAATATCAAACAATTATTGAAAGAAAATCCATATCTTGCAATTTTAATAAAGTTAGGAGATGGAATAGGTTTTACGCCAAATTGGGACCTTTTGGCTGCTTCTGTTTAAGAGATGATGCATTTCTTGTTCATGGAAAGTGACGAAAGTTCCTGAAGCTTAAACTGGAAATCAGGTACATCGGAGGACAAACATACTCCAATATTGAATGGTTAAAATTTTAATTTGTCGATGAGATATTTGCTATATGCATTTCAAACCATTAAGGTATATAATTGTTAAATTCATTTGAATCATTTAAAACTTTTAGTATGATTTCATTTCCACATGAAAGCTTAAAAAGGTATTTTGTGAGTCAAAATAATTTTTAATCTATTCAACAGGTCAACTGTGTGCTGCAGTAAGTGTATTATGGGTAATGAAGCTCCAGCCTCACTTCCGTTTAGAGTTGATCGTATGGGTACCTTAAGGTTGTTGAGTTTGAATCATCACACAATATCATAAAGCGCATGGTATTAACCAATAATTTTCCTTAATCAGAAGAAACTGTTTCATCCTTTATGGTTTAATTTGCTGTAGTAACTCTTGAGTATTTAATGTTATGGGAGAATTTCAAGGTTTCAGAGAGAGTGAAATGGATATCTCTATATATAGCACATTCAGAGACTTCTACTGAAATTTTCAGCAGAAGCATGGGTAAAAACCCCTTGATCTTGCCCAAGAGTGATCCCTGTTTACAATTAATACCTTTGACAAAAAAATAAAAGCCCCCGATAAATCTGGTAAATACTACATAAGTTTAGGTCTACATACTGATCACATGATACATAAGTTTAGGGCTACATACTGATCACATGATCAGGTTACCACTGATTGTAGATGTACAGAAACTCAATACGTTCTCAGACTATAAAAACTGTCAACAAGAACATAATGTGTCTCAGATTTCTTGTCTGTTTAGAAAGTGAAACCTAGAAGAAGTTGTAAGAATTGACATTTTAACAATAGAGTCTTTTATGTTGGTTAAATCTGTGGTGAGATTTTTTCACTATAAATTAAGTTGTCTGTGTTAAAGGTAGAACTGTCATGTAGGTGAGGGGTATAGATACGTAGTCATGATTATCTGGAAGCAAAACTTTGAATAGTTTACATAAAGACTGTATTGACTAAGACTATACTAAGTTGGATCTTTTATAAAAACAGGGTCCTTTATCATTGTCATATATGAGTAGTAGCCTATACAACAACAAAAAACAACATCAACTACAGCAATAAGCAACATCAAACAACAAACAACATCAAACATAACAACAACAATAAAAAGAACTAGCTGCTTCTTTATATATCATCTTCATACATTTGCTACTATTCTTTATTGGACATTGATATGCCATAAAGTGAAGACCTGTGTAACCTTTGACCCCTATGACCTATATCATGTTGGCCATGTGTCAAGCTCACCTTTCATTGTTGAATGCCTGTTGTTTTATCAGATGTTATCCCCTTGAATTGGCAGACCAGATTTATTACAAACCAGCCATGAAGATGCGAAGAAACATAATACTGAAATATTTCAAGAAAGGAATTTGTGAACAGAGTCACAACTGAAATGTTCATTGTTATATTACATGCTTACAATGATTTTCAGACAGGGATACAGAGGACTAGATTTCTTTGTAGACCTGCTGAGATTGGTGTTTACCAGGTATATACCTACAGAGCTCTATAAAGATATGTAATTGAATGGATTTCACTTACAGAATACTTATATATACTGTGCTAAAAATAAGGGTCAAAGCCACCACTGACCACCATCATTTTAATGTTGAGTTGAAGTTATTATCTCTACTTTTAGTACTAAGAAAATCTTCGGTTGTTGTCTTTTCATGTTGTGAAGATGTTTTGAGATAAAT